ACAGCAAATTTTAATACTGAAAAAATATTAGAAGTACTAGAAAAAGTTGGGCCCGAAAAATTTGTTGCTGTAGTTTCCGATGCAGAATCGGCAATGATGGCGGCAAAACGACAAGTTGCAGCAAAATTTCCCCACATTTTACCTATCAGATGCATTGCGCATCATATACAATTAATTGCTAATAGTATCTGTCGTTTACCTCATACACGTAAGGTTCTTTCTAATTGTCAATCCATAATAAGTTTTTTTAGAAACTCTTATACAGCTGGCGCTGCTCTTAGAGAAAAGATTGTATCCTCTTTTACTGTCGGCGGAAACTTAAAATCAACCGCTAAAACTCGGTGGTCAACGGCATGGGATTCTTGCGAATCCGTTTTACACATTTCCACTTAATTCCGCTTCCACTTACAACATTTATATTGACGGCAACCCATATGATATTGTAATGCTTATGAAAAGGGTTGATTGTGTCAATCAAGAAATTCTGATCTACTATGTGATGTTAAATTTTACTGATTTGCACCTGTTCATATCTTTCTGAAAATAGGATCAGAGTTGCAAATTGCTATAAAGGTTTTTTTTTTTGTTTACACCCACTACAAAGCCATTCATTCATTTGTTCATCATAATAAAATCTCAAGAAATTTCATCTTCATAACGTGGTAATATTTAATATATGTATATCAAAATTTATTTTGCGGATCTTATAACAAATTTTTAATGAGTTACTTCACATGTCGTGCATCAAGATTTTTTTTTTCGGAACATTTACGTACGTACGTACGTACGTACACGATTGTTGAATGACCATTTTCATAATTTGGTGCTTAGTGAAATAAAATAAGTTTTTTTTTAATACATCATTTGATCGTTAGCAAATAGCAACTACTGATTTTCACAAAATATTTCCATTTACTGTTACATTCCACCCAAACTAAATTACGGTAATTGTTGTGTACGTAGTATGAAATTCCCAAATTTTACTTATTTTACTTATTTTTTACGTATAATTAAAACCCAAAGTGGTCTTGCGCGATCTGGCATCAGAAATCTGCATTCAGGGTTATGGAAATAAGCAGTGTGACATTACACATGGTTTTTGACATTGTAAAATAAGTTACATATGTTGAATGAGATACTAAAAAAAACAAAGCAAGATTACTTGCAGTCACACATCACGCACCAAAATCCTTGGTCCCTTCAACAATGTCGGAAATTAATACCGTTAACGTTAATGTCAAATACTGCAAATTGAACCCGGAATAAGTGTTATGTTTTGAAGCCACTTAGCTATTTTTAACCTAACGTTCAAGTCTTTCGAGATCTAGATAAGGTCCTCATCCAGCAGTATATACATTATTTTACGTTAAAAATAACGAACTGTGCAAAAAGGCAAAAAGTCTTTTCCATACTAAAAACTGCAAAAAATAACTAAACATCATCGGCTGTGTTAGGTGCAGGTGCATTAGCACTAGCCACCTCTTTAAAACAAAAACACAATTTGGGAACAAAAAAATATACAGTATAATTTATCAATACGTTTGAAAATTTTTTTTTAAAATTTTCCATAATAGGCTTAATTTTTTTTTTTTAAAATAAAATGATTTGAAACTTTCTCGTTATGTAACAACTAGGAGCCAGTTTAAAATGAACATCCTTACCTAATCATTTCAGAACGATTTTCATTTATTATTAATTAAAAATACGAGTACGTATCAGTATATCGATATACATTCTTTCTATTTTTTTTTTGATTTCTCAGATTACTAATTTTTTTCTTTTGAAATAATTAGAAAAAAATACGAGTGCTGTTTTTTTGCGTTAATATTTATCTATCTTAATTACTACATTTCTGAACAAAAAAGATTTTTTTTATTTCATGTTATCATCAATGATTAAATGGCTACTAAATTACTAAATTATGTCGCAAGGCAATCTTCGCGAAATCCATTTGAAACGATCGTATTTTGCTTGATAATTGCCTCAATTACATATGCTTCATTATTTAGATCCCTAATAGAATCAGATTTTTTTAAACAAGAAATTGATTTGGTTCAAATTATTTCTTACCCTAATACAAATGAATTTGTCTTCCTCTCTAAACGTGATTCAATTAGTCAAGCTTCACGAATTCGATTAAACCAAGTTATTATAAAGACTCAACTTGACGAACCGGATACCTCAATCCTTCCTCATAACTTTGAATCTCTTGCCAGACTTCAAGAACTTGCTGAAAAAGAAATTTATGTCTCTGATGGGACAAATAAACTATATTATAATGATGATTTATGTTATAAATTTCCCGGTGATTCTTTATGTTTTTCCTTAACTTCTCCTGCTCGTGAAATCAACGTTACAAGGCCTTTTTGTCAACACTCATCTTTCGGTCCTCTCACTGATGTTAATTGTGATGCCTCCACCGTAATTTTGAACTACATTCTAAATGCTGATGGCCCTTATTTGGCTTATACTGATGCTTGGGTTGATAATATTGTTGACTTACGTGTCGGTCAATTTGCTTCTACCGGGAAGAGACCATATGCTTCTGCTAAAAAAGGTTCTTTTGCTTGGTTTGCTTTCGCTATTAGTAGCATTTTTTTTAAGATTCAAGAGTTGATTCAGGTTTGTGTTATTTTCTCTATTTTATACATTTTATATTTCCATTTTAAAATTATTCTTTTGTTCAATAGCAAGCGGATACCATCGATATCTTAGTAATTTTTACCGGTTACGTATTGATGATTTCTACTTTCGTTTTACTTTTCGCCCAGATGCAGAAAATTGGTTCACGCTTTGTTCTTGGTAATTTTTTTATACTTTAACTTTTATTTTTTAATTTATAGTTTATCACATGTTCGTCTTTTAATCCGTTATTCTGAATCATATAGCTATATGTGTCTTGTCAAATGGTTTCTTTGCTTTCATGTCGGCTTTTTTGACAATAAAATTGTTCGGTGTCACAGTCAATCCCATATTATTAAGGTATGGTATTTTTCCTTCTATACCAATTTACATTACAAAATTTAGGATCAAACATAATATAAGGAACCCTACTATAAATCAATTGATTAATAATCAATTTCATTAATGAGGTCCTTTATAATATACCTCATCTCCAATTTATATTAACATTTTTCTAAATTTCAGTGAAGCGATTCCTTTTCTAATAATAACAGTTGGTTTTGAAAAGCCTGTTGCTCTTACAAAAGCAGTTCTTACTGCAACTCCACCCTCTCAAATTGAAGAAATTAAAAAAAATGTAATGACTGGTATAACTGAAGAAGGCCCAAAAATAATTAGGGATTATTTTATCGAAATTATCGTGTTATTCATCGGTGCTGTTAGTGGCGTTACTGGTTTACAAGAATTTTGCTTTCTGGCTGGTTTTATTTTATTATATGATTGTTTATTCTTGTTCACATTTTATACTGCCGCTTTGGCTCTTAAACTTGAGGTAATTTCATCTTTTCTTCTCTATATTTTATTAATTGTTGATTTTATTTATTTATTTTTATTTATATATATATATACATATTTTTTTTTGCACCTTTATATTAATTATTAGTTGAAACGTATTCGTGAAGTTTTATCAACTGAAAAAACTGTTGAAAGAAATGAATTACCAAGTAGTCCCACGAAGCTTATTTTCATGCCTTTACAGGATAATAGTGCTGAAACAGAGGATGCAAAAAAAATTGATAATCCAATGATTTCAAGGGTTAAATTGTTAATTGTAAGCTTGTTATTATTAATTAATCAATTAATTTTAAATTCTTTTGATTTTATCTTAATATTTACTTGAAATTCTCTGTTTTTATAGATGATTGGTTTTGTAGTAATGCATGTGATGAACTTTTGCACAACTCTTCATACCGACGATGTCTCTTCAGCACTTCATATCACAAAGGCTGATTCTTATTATAATCCAACAACAATACCAATTCTAGATGTCATCCTTTCACAACATCGGTCAAGTCCTAAATCTTCCTTACCTTTAATTGTCGATGTGGCTTCCCCAATAATCTTTCGAGCTGTTCCAAGTGATGTAATCGGTAGTCAAACGTTCATTACTGCATTCTACAAGATATTTGACACCATTTTAAACTATTGGTCTCTTTATGTTCGAGATTCGGTACTCTCACCATTGATTTTTATTGGATTAATTTTCTCTATTGTTTTGAATGGTTATCTTTTGAACACTTGTAATCAATCAAAGACTAACGAAAAAACTTCTGATGTGGTCGTTTCACCATCTACTTCGAATATTATTTCCCGGGATGCACCTATTGAAAAATCTGTTTCTCATAATAATGACTTAAAACTTGATCCCAGTCCTCCTAAATCTCTAAATAATGACTTAAAACTTGATCCCAGTCCTCCTAAATCTCTAGATAATGACTTAAAACTTGATCCAAAACCTCCAATTGAATGCGTCAATATTCCTAAATCTCTAGATAATGACTTAAAAATCAATCCCAAACCTCAAACTGAATGCGTCGAGATTTCCAAGTCGCTAGATTTAAGTGATCCTATGACCATGTCTGATGAAGATATTCTTTTTTTGATTAAAAATGGCAAAATTCCTCCTTATAATCTAGAAAAATTATTAAAGAATAATGAACGAGCTGTAAAAATACGTAGAGCCTTTATATCACGTTCCTCAATCACAAAAACTTTAGAATCTTCAGTGTTACCTTTGGAAGGTTACGATTATTCAAAAGTTATGGGTGCATGCTGTGAAAATGTAATTGGATACATGCCAATCCCTCTCGGAGTGGCAGGTCCCTTAAAAATTGATGGTGAACTATTTCATATTCCGATGGCTACGACCGAAGGATGTTTAGTTGCTTCAACTTCTAGAGGATGCAAGGCAATTAATGGTGGTGGAGGTGCTAAGACTGTTGTGACGCAAGATTTGATGGCTCGTGGACCTTGCGTGGAATTTCCTAATATCATACAGGCTGGTAAAGCTAAAAATTGGTTGGAAAACGATGGAAATGATATTATAAAACAGGCGTTTAATTCTACATCTAGATATGCTAGATTGAAGAAGTTAAAAGTTACTGTTGCTGGAAAATTATTGTTTATTAGGTTTTCTACAACTACAGGAGATGCGATGGGAATGAACATGATTTCGAAAGGATGTGAAGAATCACTTAGGGTGATGAATGAACATTTTCCTGATATGCAAATAATAAGCGTCAGTGGAAACTATTGTACAGATAAGAAACCCGCAGCAATTAATTGGATTGAAGGACGTGGAAAATCCGTAGTTGCTGAAACAATAATTCCCGGTGATGTTGTAAAGAAAGTATTGAAAACCAGTGTTGAAGCACTTGTGAAATTGAATATCTCAAAGAATTTAGTTGGAAGCGCGATTGCAGGTAGTATTGGAGGATTTAATGCTCACGCAGCAAATATCGTTACGGCAATGTATATCGCGACCGGACAAGATCCAGCACAAAATGTTGAAAGTTCAAATTGTATAACGCTAATGGAAGCTATTGATAATCCAGTGACAAATACTAAAGACTTACACCTTACATGTACAATGCCATCAATCGAAGTAGGAACTATAGGAGGAGGAACAATATTAGGACCACAAAGCGCCGTGTTAGAAATGTTGGGTGTAAAAGGACCTCATCCAACAAATCCAGGAGAAAATGCGAAAAAATTAGCGAGAATTATATGTGCCAGTGTTATGGCGGGAGAATTAAGCTTATGTGCTGCATTGGCTGCTGGACATTTGGTTAAAAGCCACATGACACACAACAGAGCTATAGTTGGACATTCAAATTCACACGCTATATCAAATACAACTACAATACCTCCCGTTAATAATTGTATTAAAAATTCTGGAATAGAAAATGTACCTGATTCAAATATACCTATCCCAGGATCTTGCTTAAATTCATAGATTTAAATAATAAAAATAACCAAAAATAATTACGTTTACAATTTTCAAGAATATAATGATTAGTAGCATTTAAACAGATTGTAATATCCTAGAACTTACATACCCGTATTCACATTTAAATAAAATTCTCATGATTATTTTAGCATAATTCTATTCTTAAACATGTCTATAACAAAGTTACGTTGAAATTTTTTTAACGTTGATATTTAAATTTCATTCGCGAATATTCGCATAAAACTTTTTGAGTCGCTCATTTCCACTAGGGTGTCCAGGATTATGCGAAAGCATAATATGCGCATAATTTACCAATTTTTCGCATCGCATATGCTTCGCATAATCGAGCAAAAAAAA